CTGTATTATAATAGTTTTCAAATGACAAAAACATTGCAATTCTGAAGTATTTTCCCATTTACCTCAGACCCCATCTTGGCACCATGGAGCGCTCCATACCTCCGTCCCTCAACAACCCCAACGTGAGTGCCTTCAGCGTAGCCCTCCTGATACCCCTCACCATGAAACCTGCAAACACAGGAGCACGCACCAATTTTTATCACCTGTTTTCACTTCACATCGCATCGAACTCACAGAAACAAAACCATGGTGCATCATCTCCAAAATGCAACTGCCTGGATTTAGAAATATCACATGACATCGAAAATTAAAATGCAATTACAGAATCACAGAATTATCTAGGCTGGAAGAGACCCTCGGGATCATCGAGTCCAGCCATCAACCCTTCTCTAAAGTTCTCACACCAATTTTTATCACCTGTTTTCATTTCATGTCGCGTCGAACTCACCCTGCGCACAAACAACTCACAGAAACAAAACCATGGTGCACCATCTCCGAAACGCAACCGCCCGGATTTAGAAATATCACATAACATTGAAAATTAAAATGCAATCACAAGAATCACAGAATTATCTAAGCTGGAAGAGACCCTCGGGATCATCGAGTCCAGCCATCCACCTTACTCTAAAGTTCTCCCCTACACCATATCCCCCAACACCACATCTAAACGGTTCTTAAACACAGCCAGGGACGGTGACTCAACCCCCTCCCTGGGCAGCCTATTCCAATGCCCGACCACTCTCTCTGTGAAGAATTGTTTCCTAATGTCCAGTCTAAACCTCCCCTTGAAACTTGAACCCATTACCCCTTGTCCTATCCTCTGTAACTTGGGAGAAGAGACCGACCCCCACCTCTCTACACCCTCCTTTCAGGTAGTTGTAGAGAGGCACACTGTGATGTTTGCAAACACGCTCTTATAATAATTTGCCAAATTTGCAAATAATTTGCCAAAACCAAGGCGCTCAGCAGCCCAGCTCAGTACCTTCGCCACAATCACACTGCTGGCTACAAGCTCACACCTCCGGCTCGAGCTTCCACACACGGTGGAAGAGCCGAGATCGAGCAAGTCGGCCGCTCAACAGCAGCAGAAAGGAGACTTTCCCCCGCTCTTCTTTTTCCTCACCCCTTCCCCGGGCTCATTACCCGCCCTTCGCCCCTCACTTCTTCTCTCTCAGCCCCCACTGTGGAAACCCAGACCCAGGCCCAGGCCCAGGCCCAGGCCCAGGTCGAGGCCTCCGCTCCCTCCCCCTAACCCGACCCGTTACCCGCGACAAACGGAGAATCCCCCCTGTCCCCTGAGGCTCCCAGGGCCCCGGCCAAGGCTCCCCCACCTCTCATCAGCCATCACGATCTCATCGAACATGTCCGAGCTCCCAGACGCGGCCTCCGCCGTCGCCATCATGACGCCGCTTTGCATGCCGGGAAAGGACGGCGAGCCGGAGGGGCCGCCGAGAGGTGGTGCCAGTGCGCAGGCGCGAAAGCCCCCCCCCAGGCACCCGAGTTAGTGGCCACGCCCACTTATAAGCATATGTTTCTATAAATATATATATATTTAAAAAATGTTAAATTTAAACTGTTGTTTTCCAGCTGCTGAGTGAATCACAGCATGGCTCTGAGCACACCAGAGTACTCTGCCGGGGGGACACGGGGCCCCTCGTCCTCCCAGACATAGGCAGGAGGGCAGAGGACTCGAAAAGACAGCTCAAAAAACTAGAAATGGGAATAAAGAAAAAAACCAACTCCATTGGAGTGAAAATAAAGCTGTGCTGCTAAAGGTTTAGCTAACCAGTTCCTTAAAAATGCTCCATCTCAACAGGCTTTATTGATTTATGTGCATCCACTCTGTTTATTGTGATTTATCTAGAGTGACTGTAGAGCCAGCTTGCTTTCTGCGTTAATTTAAAGTGCAGATATCGCTGGATCTCACACTAAAATCACCCAAAGTTTGCCAGGTGTGAGCACCTACCTGCTCTACCTCCACACCATCACAAGCAAACACAGAGTGTTCACTGATATCACGGGAAATATAAAGGTGTTTTTGAAGGTTTCCTCTAAGCTAAGAGCCACAATTTACATCTTGTTTTGGAAATTGATGAAAAGCAAGTTCTTTGATCCCAATAGGCAGCCGGATTGATGAAAAATGCTGAAAATATAATATACTGGCAAGAAGACTACAAAACACCCATCTAATTTTGGGCCATTCTTACCTTCAACAGCCTCATCCAACGGGGTCTCTTATAAATTTGCTCTGTGCCTGGACTGTCACAAGTTCACCCGAATTCAGAGCCCTAATGATGTCTTTTTTTGCACTCCCATTCGCTCCTGAGGGAAATGCATCTCTGCTTTCACTGTCTCTGATGCTGCCTTGAAAGGAGGGTCCATACATTTTTGAGGAAAGAAAGTATATTTATTTAGTTTATCATGTTGTTCTCCATTCATATACAAAGTACACTGGCAGAGCAGAAAGAGTGGTCCCAAATGTTCCATGAACTGAATTTTCCATCTCAGTGCTTTGAGCAGAGGTGAAGTTGATGTTGTGGCTCTTGAATAAAGGATTTATAGCTTTTTTACACTTCCCCAAGGTGGAAATGGAGATGCTCAGTATCTCCTTTCCTACAGCCTTCCCACTACTCCGACAACTGGTATTTGCACATCTTAGCTCCTGACTGAGACTTCACCAGGGGGGGCATTTGACACCTGACCTTTAAAAACCTTTTAGGGCCGTAAAATGTAGTATTGCGAATGAAAGTGCTGCAGTTGTCCCACTTGTCTTTGAGGAACTGGGATTGACCGGGATGTACACAGCGAATGGTGCTGGTGGTGTTTACGTTCCCACAGAATGGTCTTCCCAGGTTTTGCACACCAAGTTCCCCAGCAAGTCAGGTGTCTGATGGTGGGGAGAGCATTTTCCAGTAATCCTTCCACCTCAAGCTGTGATCTTGGGAGATTTCATAAGCAAAACAGCCAAGGTCTGGTCAGAGCTTGGATGGGAAACCTCCAAGGGAAACCAACGTGCTGCAGGAAGCGGTGTGGGTAATTCAGCCCCTGGCATTCTTCCCTCCGTCTGAATAAATATTGAACCGACCTCTAACCATGCTGTGGCAGTAAGAAACATTGTGCTGCTGCTGGAAGATGCAAATCCAAAGGTGTCAGCAGAGTCACTGGAGAGCTCAAGACACTGTCCTCAAACATAAGGCTGCTCATCTTGAGTGATATCCATGAACGATGATGTTACATCTACTTAAATCTCTCACTGGTTAAATTAACCAGTGCAGCCTCTGTACACTGTGATGCTGTGTTTCCCATCAAAACTCTGCATTTTGTCAGCAGAAAAGTAAAAGTGGATTTTTTTTGACCAAACTTTAAAAGTTCATATTTATTTTATTTTTTTCTGGTTTTTTTTAATTATTTTTTTTTAACCAAACTGGTAAAAACCAAAAAGAACTGACCGAAAAGGTCTTGAAACCTATAGGATGTTCCAAGAAAATACACTGGCTGATCAAAGCTGGAAATAAAAAAACAGAAAACCGGAATGCCCCAAGCTCGAAAACTTTTGGAATAAAGCAACTTGAAAATCAGGACTACATCTCCCAGGAGATGAGGAGCGGGAAGCCTCCGGATGCGTGGCAGTGGCTCAGCACAAAGGAGAATGGGAAACACCATGGGAGATGTTCGCCAGCCAAGAAATCTGCAATTCCTGTGACTCACAGCGTTTCCAAACGGAAACGTTCGGTTCTTTTTTCCTGCCAGAAATCGGCATCTTTTTCAGGCAAAATTAACCAGTTTTCTCCCCTGCTGTGCTGTTGAATATTTTAAAAGAGAGCAGCCTTCCAGTCACAGGACTTTTGGCATTGTGCAGTTGGATTTTGCTTTGCACAGCTGATGAAGAACCACAGAAACCACAGCTGTTGGTGGATTTTTCCATCTCCCCAAGGAATCACCTCCTCCTTTTGGTGTCCGGCACCTTGAAGGCTGCGAGGAGTCCAAAAAGCAGGTTTTAATGACATAAATGGAATAAGAAAGGGATGTTTTATACAATAGATGCAAATCCACGACTGCTTTATCGCAGATGAAGCATAACTGGTGATGTCTACAGGCAGCACTCACTGGCCTAGATCTGCAACTACCTAAAAGGAGGTTGTAGAGAGGTGGGGATTGGTGTCTTCTCCCAAGTAATAGGCAATAGGACAAGAGGAAATGGCCTCAAGTTGCGCCAGGGGAGATTTAGGTTGGGTATTAGGAAAAATTTCTTCACCAAAAGGGTTGTCAGGCATTGGAACAGGCTGCCCAGGGAAGTGGTTGAGTCACCATCCCTGGGGGTGTTTGAAAGACCTGTAGACGTGGTGCTGAGGAACATGGCTTAGGGGTGGACTTGGCAGTGCTATGTTTATGGTTGGACCTGATGATCTTAAGGGTTTTTTTCCAACCTAAATGATTCTATTCTATGATTGAATGATGAGGACTGGGAGGGAAACATCAGGACACACTCACACAGCTTCAAGCTGAGCTTTACTCGTTGTATCGAGTGACCTTCACATATCTCAAAGTCAAAACTTAATGAGCTGTTTCCAAAAGCCTTCCATAACAGAGATACTTTTCTTAGACTCTCTGTTTCCCATGGAGCTCATCAGTAATTGGCAGCAGAGAGACTGGAATTCCAGCCTTGGCATTCACTGCCTGGCTTTGGGAAAACCCCTTTGTCCCTCCACATCCTTGTCCATCGTACCTCAACTCCACCACCTTCACAAGGGACATCATCTTCACCCGGCTGCTGCGGAGCCAGGTGCCATCAGTTTGCTAAAGCTCCTCGAAATCTCAGGACTAAAGGAGTGACAAAAGAGTCGGCTAGATTTCCGTGTTGAAGATGATTTTTTTTTTTTATTGCAAATGTACACATTACACTACTGATAATGCACAGAAATTTAAAAAGTTATCGTTCGCTAAAATTTCATGATTACAAAACTTCACAAAATTTGTTACAACTAAAAAACCCGCCTTCGGGAGTATATAAATAGAATTTCAAGCATAAATAACAGTAACAAAATAAACAGGTGTATGTATTAAATAAATTAATTATAAATATTGCATTGGCAATGAAGTGCTAGGTCAGAAGAACACCAGTATTTCCAGGAAAGCTTTTTTTTGTATAGAAATATCTATTATAAAAGAACCTTTGGAAACAAGTAGAATCCCTGTACCTTTTTTCACTTCTTTTTTTTTTTTTCCTTTGGTTTCACCTTCCTTTTTTCCTTCACCAAATTCTTAGAATGAGAGAACAGAACTGAAGACACCAGACATCTGTGTTTTGGCCACAAGGTACTCATACATAATCCCTTCCTGCAAGAAGAGCAGCGTGGCTGACCCACTTCTGCAGCATTTAAATCACTAAACTGTCTCCCCCCTGGTTCCCACAGATGCAGGATCGAGCCTGGAAGGGACTTGAAAGAATTGCTGATGGTTAAAGGTTAAACACGAAAACCTCTTTTGCAATTGATTTGACCTATACATCATCCATTTTCAGTCTTTCTCTCCGTTTGCAGTCTTTCTCTCCGTTTGCTAACGACACACATGCTGATATATGACAGAACCTTAATTTAAACATGAATTTGAGCCTGCTAATGACACACATGCTGATATACAACAGAACCTTAATTTAAACATGAATTTGAGCTGGGCATTCCCTACCCCAAGAACATAAATGCTAGTTCTGTGCACTCTTCCAACCGCGCACTGAATTCTCACCAATGTTAATGGGAACTCTCTGCTGGATGATGCTGATCCCACAGTGAACATAAATTAGCCTTTAAAAAAAAAAAATCAAAGATCCAAAGTTTTCCAAAGAACCCTCTAGCAATAAGGGAAGGAAGAAATTTTTCCTTCCCTCATTTCCTAAGGGAAGAAAAAGCACAATATACAAGCAGAATTGTTTTTCCAGTGGTATGCTTTCAATAGAAAGTTTTCCCAGAACGTTGTCAGCAGCTTTTCAAGAAACAGCGTTAACCCTAGTTCGTGTAACCACATTTGCTAGGTTTTCCTTAATTGTGTTGTGTTCCCAGTGTTTGTCTTTAAGGCCCCTGAAGCTACGAGTTCATTAACCTCCCTGTGACTGGAAAAAAAAAAAGGTTTTCTGCATTTGCTCCTATGAGCAGAAATAATAGATGAACACACATGGTGATGAAGTTGATGTAGAAAAATTATAAGTATTTTATCATCACCACAGTAATGGAGGAAATCTGATGAAGCTGTTAAGCTTTTCTTATGAAAAGGTTCTTTCTCCCTTTCCAAATAAAACTATGGATAGGCAATTCTTTCGACTACAAAATAGCCTCTGGGCACTCATCTCTTACAGGTACAACACATGGCAAGGAAAATGCTGGCTCTGTACTGAAATATACAAAAAAAGTTCGAAATATCACTACACGAAAAGCTAAAAAAACAAACAACCCTGCAGTATTCTGCAGTATTTCTTTAAAAAAACGTGTGTGTGTGTTTGATCAGAGTCATTTCTGAAAGCTGGGGCTCTTCACCGGCGACAGTTTGGAGGTGATGCCAAAGGGGTCCATGCTGTCCGTTTCCAGTGGTGAGGAGTACACCTCGGGTTCAAAGGCCTGGCTGTAGTCCCCGTACTCCCCAAAGTCTGCGGACTCCACGGGCACCGTGTTGATCATGGGTAAGAAGTGAGACAGCGGAAGGAAATCTTTCCCTTTGAACTGTTGTCTTTGCTTGGCACTGCTCAAGGACACCGATATTCCGTGTTTTTTTGATCTATAGACGTTGTAGCCGTCTGGACGGATCTCCTCTTCAAAGGAACAATCCTCGGTGGAATATCTGAGCTGAACAGCAAGGAGTAACCAGAATTACAAAGATGCCCACCAGACCCATTGTAGTCAACTACAACATAAACCTTGGATGCTACCAACCCTTTTCTCTCTGTTGCCAGTGGGGGTGTCCCTCTGGCTTGTTGTGGGGGGTCCCAATTTGGTGCACCTCACAGACCGTGCTGCCAGATCCATGCTGGTGGGCTGCCCATTGCTCTGGTGACTGCTCCTTCAGCAATGGACCACGGTGACTGAGTTTTAAGTGCCCTGAAGTTGTCAAGCAGTTGGACTAGATGATCATTGTTGGCCACTGAGTTTTAAGTCCCCTGAAGTTGTCAGGCAGTTGGACTAGATGATCATTGTCGGTCCCTTCCAACTGAAATTTATTCTATCCTATCCTATCCTATCCTATCCTATCCTATCCTATCCTATCCTATCCTAATTTTTCTTTCTATTTCTATTCTACTAGAGCTCCCCACGGCATGCATTTTGGGTTATGAGGCCACTAAAAGACCTAATCCAGAACTCCTGAACTTCATGCACACCCATCACAGTAAATAAGCTTTGGATCCTGGATGTGTACTTCTCCACGGCTACCACACTTATGCCATCCTGAGCACGGGGAAAAAGAGTCTCAGATGACAATGCTCATTTAGATAAACTGTCCTTAATTGCTGACAGTACTTAACAGCATGCAGTCATGAGACCTAATCCAACAATCCTCAGGTATAAAGCTCCGTCTCGATTGGAGATTTACCTGTGTTAAGGGCTTTGGGATCAGGTCTGTAGAAAGGCAGCACTTTGCAAACATGGCCAATCAGTAAAACGACACTCAAAAGGTAATTGCCTTTTTTTTTTTTTTAACTTAGCATTTGCTGAAATTACAAAAGACCACTTAAAGAGTGTTATTTGCTCAATAGACGTTAGTTACAACTGTCAAATTAATAACAGTGAAAGTTACGATTTTGTGTGGAAGGATGGATTTGCTTAACTATGAATTTGTAGCAATACATTTCTGACATACTGACAGACAGCACGTTAGGAGTTTGCATCACCAGGTCAGACCTTTGCAGGTCTTTACACAAGCACTGTGTTTCTTACAGCTCTGGTGCTATTTCAGGCTCAGCCACTACAGGTGACTGAACTCACGGTCAATAAAAGACAATTGCTGATTATGTCTCAGTCTGCAGTGATAAAAGTGTCCTTTTATGAACACTCTGCCTGTCAGAATAGAGAGCATATTTGATACTCTTCAGTCGTTTCTCAAACTCCCTTAATATGGAGTGTGATTAAGTGTATACATTTGATTGTCTTTCAAAAGCACTTTTGAAACTGATCAAATAATTTTTAAAAGGCATTTTCTCCAAATAAAATTACGCAATACTTAGCCTCCCACACACACTATGTCTCAGAAAAATACAAATTTATGGCTGAATTGTTAGCTGTCCTTATTTCTATGAGTGCTCAGCCTCACCAGCAAGGATGATGAAATAGAAACGCTTCTTGAGTGAGTGAGCATTACAAATAACGGTTATTGATTGCGCCTCCTGTGTCTCAGCTATATCATTCCCTCTTCAATTCATTGGGATTGTCTCTAGTGTATTTTTTATAAAAAAGTACCAAATGCACTTTAACTATTTCCAGATTATTTTTTCCATAGGAGGAATGTATAGTATCTCAGTGCATTAAGCAGTTAGGTGATTTCCCCTAAACTGCAGACTATGGCACACTGCACGTTCAAAAATCAACCCAAGTCATCTGTTTTCCAGTGTTAAACAGGGGCATGTTTCAGGAGTGCAAGGGGTTGCCCAGATCAGTCCCCAAACACTGCATTTGCCCTTTTCATTCTTCCACTCCTGAGCGTAGTGCTGATAAAGCACAGAATTGCCCGCAGAGCTGCTTGCTGGGGCTGTTAGCAGAGAGGTGACAGCAGGTATCCTACAGATGCGACAGCATGGCTACATGCCATTGTATTTTCAGAAAAAAAACCACCCTGCAATTAATGCCACACACCAACAAACCCAGTTTCAGTCAAGGCATATGCATATGACTTAAAAATGGTGTTATATGAAAGCTATTTTAAGATTCTGTGACTGCTGAAGTCCAGCTGGAAGCTCCGATGGGAGCAGGATTCAGGCTCTGCTTTGTTTTGGTTTTGCTTTGAATATACATTAAAACATTAAGCTAATAATTGCCCTACCATATAGTCTGAACCTATGCAGCTTATCACAGCATCAATTAATTCCAGCCCCAAAAAAGCAAGGAAATTCAGAAAGAAAGACTTAGTCCTATGCTATAAACGCCTTCAAAACCATCACTGGAGCAAGTATCGCTCTTATTAAAGATACTGGGAGTTTTGACAAGGGGCCAAGTCCTTGCCCGATTGAACGTCGATTGATTCCAGCCCCAAAAAGCAAGGAAATTCAGAAAGAAAGACTTAGTCCTATGCTATAAACGCCTTCAAAACCATCACTGTAGCAAGTATCGCTCTTATTAAAGATACTGGGAGTTTTGACAAGGGGCCAAGTCCTTGCCCGATTGAAATCAGCAGAAATTTTGCCAGAGTAATCAGAGCAGAATCGAGCTGTATCTTTACTACGGCGTAATAAAAAGGCATCGCTCTGTGAGACTCAGGCTCCTGTAAAGCAGTCACAGACTGAGTCTGACTCTTACCCTTCATATTCTAGAGTCGGCAACTTATTTGTGTGGCTTCAAAAACAAGTTTATATCACTGATAACGCCTAGCTGACATGCCTAGGGAAAAAAAAAGCATGACCTAACAAGGTGGTGTCAGCAGGTCACTCAACTCCTCAACCTCTTGGAGTCCCACAGGTGTGCTGTTACCTCAGGTCAGAAGAGAGACGGGGGAGAAGAAGAGTCCTTCTGCCCCTTGAAATCCCGTTTCTGTTTGGTACTACCTAAGGGATGGTGACCCTGTGTTTCTGGGATTTGTCTGGCTGCATCTCCTTTCCGAAGGAATAATCTTATTTATTTATTTACTACTTTGTTTTAGAATACCTGACCCCAACAGCGAGAAATTATTCAGATTAAGTTATTCAGATTCTAAGCCCCGACTTAATCTATTTCACAGAATCACAGAATCACAGAATCTTCTAGGTTGGAAGGGACCTTAAAGATCATCCTGTCCAACCGTCAACCTGACTGACAAGAATAGACACCCACACAACAAACAAGGAGCATCACTAAACGCCGCCACCCACCCGTGAGGCTTTTGAAAACATAAATGCAATTTTGCCCTGGACTATTTTCAATATATTTTGGCGGGGGACGCGCAGTATCGGCATGATATATGATGTTCTTTGCTGAATTCTCCTAACCCTGATGGCCTTTCAGGGAGTATGAGCGACAAGAATCACGGGTCCTATGGAGAATAAGGGGATGGGGGGGAGCGGAAAGCTTTGTTAACCCATTACCGACCACAGCCCTACAAAAAATATGTCAGCCCTTAGGTCTCGCCTGCCGTTTTAGCGCGGGGGCAGAGCTGGAAAGCTCTCTCGGGAAAGGGTTTAAAGCCACCGGGACCGGGATTCGTCTCAGCTCACCTGCCCGTGCAGCCGCCCCGCCTCGTCCATGCAGAGGTAACGGGAGCTCCGCACTCCCTTGATGGCCACGGTGCGCACCGCCACGGCGCGGATCTCCAGCAGACCTGCGGAAAATTAAAAAAAAGGCTCAGCCTCACCAGCAAGGATGATGAAATAGAAACGCTTCTTGAGTGAGTGAGCATTACAAATAACGGTTATTGATTGCGCCTCCTGTGTCTCAGCTATATCATTCCCTCTTCAATTCATTGGGATTGTCTCTAGTGTATTTTTTATAAAAAAGTACCAAATGCACTTTAACTATTTCCAGATTATTTTTTCCATAGGAGGAATGTATAGTATCTCAGTGCATTAAGCAGTTAGGTGATTTCCCCTAAACTGCAGACTATGGCACACTGCACGTTCAAAAATCAACCCAAGTCATCTGTTTTCCAGTGTTAAACAGGGGCATGTTTCAGGAGTGCAAGGGGTTGCCCAGATCAGTCCCCAAACACTGCATTTGCCCTTTTCATTCTTCCACTCCTGAGCGTAGTGCTGATAAAGCACAGAATTGCCCGCAGAGCTGCTTGCTGGGGCTGTTAGCAGAGAGGTGACAGCAGGTATCCTACAGATGCGACAGCATGGCTACATGCCATTGTATTTTCAGAAAAAAAACACCCTGCAATTAATGCCACACACCAACAAACCCAGTTTCAGTCAAGGCATATGCATATGACTTAAAAATGGTGTTATATGAAAGCTATTTTAAGATTCTGTGACTGCTGAAGTCCAGCTGGAAGGGATGGGAGCAGGATTCAGGCTCTGCTTTGTTTTGGTTTTGCTTTGAATATACATTAAAACATTAAGCTAATAATTGCCCTACCATATAGTCTGAACCTATGCAGCTTATCACAGCGTCGATTGATTCCAGCCCCAAAAAGCAAGGAAATTCAGAAAGAAAGACTTAGTCCTATGCTATAAACGCCTTCAAAACCATCACTGTAGCAAGTATCGCTCTTACTAAAGATACTGGGAGTTTTGACAAGGGGCCAAGTCCTTGCCTGATTGAAATCAGCAGAAATTTTGCCAGAGTAATCAGAGCAGAATCGAGCTGTATCTTTACTACGGCGTAATAAAAAGGCATCGCTCTGTGAGACTCAGGCTCCTGTAAAGCAGTCATGCACAGACCGAGTCTGACTCTTACCCTTCATATTCTAGAGTCGGCAACTTATTTGTGTGGCTTCAAAAACAAGTTTATATCACTGATAACGCCTAGCTGACATGCCTAGGGAAAAAAAAAGCATGACCTAACAAGGTGGTGTCAGCAGGTCACTCAACTCCTCAACCTCTTGGAGTCCCACAGGTGTGCTGTTACCTCAGGTCAGAAGAGAGACGGGGGAGAAGAAGAGTCCTTCTGCCCCTTGAAATCCCGTTTCTGTTTGGTACTACCTAAGGGATGGTGACCCTGTGTTTCTGGGATTTGTCTGGCTGCATCTCCTTTCCGAAGGAATAATCTTATTTATTTATTTACTACTTTGTTTTAGAATACCTGACCCCAACAGCGAGAAATTATTCAGATTAAGTTATTCAGATTCTAAGCCCCGACTTAATCTATTTCACAGAATCACAGAATCACAGAATCTTCTAGGTTGGAAGGGACCTTAAAGATCATCCTGTCCAACCGTCAACCTGACTGACAAGAATAGACACCCACACAACAAACAAGGAGCATCACTAAACGCCGCCACCCACCCGTGAGGCTTTTGAAAACATAAATGCAATTTTGCCCTGGACTATTTTCAATATATTTTGGCGGGGGACGCGCAGTATCGGCATGATATATGATGTTCTTTGCTGAATTCTCCTAACCCTGATGGCCTTTCAGGGAGTATGAGCGACAAGAATCACGGGTCCTATGGAGAATAAGGGGATGGGGGGGAGCGGAAAGCTTTGTTAACCCATTACCAACCGCAGCCATACGAAAAATATGTCAGCCCTTTGGTCTCGCCTGCCGTTTTAGCTCGGCGGCAGGGCTGGAAAGCTCTCTCGGGAAAGGGTTTAAAGCCACCGGGACCGGGATTCGTCTCAGCTCACCTGCCCGTGCAGCCGCCCCGCCTCGTCCATGCAGAGGTAACGGGAGCTCCGCACTCCCTTGATGGCCACGGTGCGCACCGCCACGGCGCGGATCTCCAGCAGACCTGCGGAAAATTAAAAAAAAAAAAAAAAAAAAAAAAAAAAAAGGGCGCTTCGCTTAGCTCCGCGGATCCCCCCCCATCCATCCCCATCCCATCCCGTCCATCCCCGGTACCGCCGGTACTCACTCTGCGGGCTCTGGCTCCCGGCGGCGTCCACCCGCCCGTCTCCGCCGATGCGTAGGAAGCAGCTGAAGAGCCCGTGTTTGCTGGCGGTGTAAAGGTGCCGCAACCGGATCGGTTCCCCCCACCCGTAGTTAACGTGGGGCCCGGCGTCGGGCAAAGGCAGCGGGACGGCGGAGACGACGGCGACGACGAGCCCCAGCAGCGCCAGGGAGGCGGGGGGCGGCCCCATAACGGCGGGAGGGGCGCGGAAAAGGCGCGGAAGGGAGCGGAGAGGAGGCGGCGGGGAAGCTGGCTGCGCTGGTTGCGGCTCGGGGATGTTGTAGCGCCGGGGGAAGGCGGCCCCCCGGCCTTTTATAGCTCTCCCTTATCAGCCCGATCGATCCGACCGCATCCCAGCTCCGATATAGGGCCCGTTTCATAGCGGGAATTGGTCGGGATGGGTCACTCCCCCCGAAAATATTGATCGGATGACATCATTTCGCAGGGGACACCCTGAAGTCGCTCCCTCCCCATCCCTACCTCCCAGCTTTTTCCCTCCTTCGAGTCTCCGGCAGAGATTTTCCCCGCCCGGCTTGGACCCCCGCGGTCCCCGAGGGGATGGGATGGGACGGGATGCGAGAGGATGGGATGGGATGGGAGAGGATGGGGTGGGATGGGATGGGATGGAGGGGATGGAGGGGATGGGATGGGGTGGGATGGGATGGGATGGAGGGGGGACAGGCGACACTGCGGGTCCCTCAGCCCTTTCCCTGATGCGAGCACCGGGAAGGGGAGCGGGGGGTGGGCGTGTGAGCATCCATCCAACCCCAACCAGCGGCTACGCGGAGCTGAGGAATAAAATTCGCCGTCGGGGGATGCTTTTTTACACCTCGCGAAGGGAAACCAGGCTCGGGCAGGACCCAGCCGCCGTGTCTCCTCGGTCCCACCGTACACAGCCCCGCTCCCACCTCCCAGGGTCGGTGACCGGGGTGAGCGGTACCCGCCGTTCCCGGTTCCCGGCAGCCGACGGGGCACAGGTTCCCGCCGCGACGGGACGGCCCGGTACGACCCGGTACGGCCCGGTACGGCGCCTCTGGGCGGGCCTGAGCTGCTCCCGGGCTTTATTGCAGCCCGGCCATCCCCGGCTGTGTCACTAGATGGAGCCTGGTACCCGGGATGGGGGCTGGCCTCGCCTGGGGGGGCTCTCCATCCCCTCTTCCTCCCCACTTGTACAAAGAGATTGGGGGGAAAAAAAAAAGTGTGTAATAAAACCGCATTTCCCGCAGCCAGCGGCCCTATCTAAGCATCAAACTGATATATTTTTAGTTAGTCCGTGTGTGGACTTTTTCCACTCGGGCTCTTCCCCCAGGAGCTCACTCAGCGAGGGCACCAGGAAAGGTGGAAAGAAGCAAACACACACATTTTGGCTTATTCTGTGCTGTTGACATCTCAGGGGATGTATCTCAGGACATCACTTTAGGGGATTGCTGCTGGCTTTTCTGCTCTCCGTCCAAACTGAGCGTTGAAGGAGTTTTCTCAGATCTTAAGAGAGAAAATGAGCAATTCCATAAAGAAAAAAAATCCTTCCTCCTTAAATAACAATTAAGCAAAACATAAACCCATGGCCCCAGCAACTTCTCTGAAACAGCAAAGTTTTGGTCAGCTTCCACATGCTGTTTTTATATTTCCCTGCCTGTTTACGTTCATCTTTTTGTCTGTACACTTGCATTTCCCTCCTGTCAACACTCACACAAATAGCTTTTCTTTATGAGCAATCTCAGCTGAGTGAGGCTGCACACATAGACAAAGTCATACAAAAACACAGAGCCTTGTAGGATGCTGGCCTGCACTTGTGGCTTACGCTTATTATCATGCCTAGCTTATGGTACTGAAGTTAATCACATCAATCAATCAGTGTTTGAATGATCAGGGTCTTGCATCAAAAGCTCCCTGGAGCAAGGGATTGTATGTCACCAACCATTTCAAAGGCAATTACTGATTGTGACTACCTTTGGGTTTTTCTGATGGTCCACTTGAGACACACAAGAAGGAACCCAATTTTCTCCACGTGAGTGAAGAATAATTAATAAAAATCAGGATCTTTCACTTTCAGGTGTCTTCTGCTGCGTCCTCCACATCATGGCCTGATTTGAGAAATTCTGGCCTTTCAAACATCACACAAGTTCACAGTATTATAAATGCAGTAAATAATACTAAGGCATCCAAGACCCTCAGGTTTTTTTTTTTTTTCCCCTCTACAGAATTCTGCAATGTTATTACATGACTGCTACAAAGGCGGTTCACTGCCCTGCAACCCTGGGCCCCACAGCAGTTGTGCATGTAACTCATCCTGGCTGCATATGCATTCTTCAAGGTATCGAGCACCCACCACACACACAGAGGTTACGGTCTGAAATGAATCTGAAAAGCTTTTTTAGTTCATTTTGTTGTGCATCTCAGTGAATAGAAGCTATTTCGTGACGACTATTTCTGCGATACTCTAGCGTGAATAATGTTCATGATCATAAGTATTCATTTTCTTCATCGAGAATTCAATTTTCTTTCATGCAGTAAGGAATTGATGAACTTGTTTATGCATTCTGACAGCATCATTGTTCCCTGTGAAGATCAAAAATTGAGGCAGAAAGATCAAAACATTTGCACTAAATGATATTTCAAATCAGTGAAAAAGGTGGCTATAAGTGAGAATTTCCTAACAATTGATGGAGAGCTTTTAAAAATTATTTTCATTGTTACTGATCGATGTTTAAAGGTTCATATATAATCAAATTTTTGCTGATGCTACATGGACTGATGTTTAAAGGTTCATATATAATCAAATTTAAATTAAAATGAAGCACTTAGCTACTTTTTTGGAAAGGCCTTTCTAGTTGTAGGAAGCTTTCAATCTAATTTCTCCAAGTTCCTCTGTAGTCAGTGAACTACTTTTTTGGAATGGCCTCTCTAGTTGTAGGAAGCTTTCAATCTAAATAATTTCTCCAAGTTCCTCTGTAGTCAGTGACAGAGGTAAGTGCCTCCAAGTACTTATCTGCACTGGATAGTACCAACCCTATCTCAAAACAGCTGTTTAAGAGATATGGGTTAAATAATCTCTGGAAGTGTCTATTTCTTTATTGGCTCTGGAAAAAAACCCTAGATGATTAACTTGGAATAAGTACCTTGTTTTTAGCTAGAGCTAAAAGAGCTAATGAATCTCACTGTTTTCAAAATACAATAGTTGCAACATGTGATTTTCATTTCAGTTCATATCGGTGTCACTGAACTTTATCATTTATTGGCATCTTTTTATCAAAGTTCAATAGAAAGGCACATGCCTTTACATGTTTCTACAAATGTATTGCAGAAAAAAAATATTTGCAGAACAAATGTGTTATAGGGTGAATCACAGCACCACTTCCAGTGCTGGACCTGCTCCCTGTATAAACAGAGCCTTCAACAAGAAAACCTGGTAGAGTGGGAGTTTTTGCTTTTACGGGAATAAGAAAAAAACCAACCCAGGAAGAAGGTCTTGTAGAATAAAAATACTTCCTGACCAAATAGTACACAACTGCAAAAGCATTTTCACCTGTTGTAATGGATCATTTATTTCCACTGCACTTTTCAAAGTCTCAATGTAATTTCTGCAGAACAAGAACCTCAGCTTTGTGTAACCCTAAAGCTGAAAAGAATGTGTTTTGGAAGAACATATCTGCCTATATTTAACTTCCAAAGTTAAACATCCAGAAATGCTGGAACATGTCAAAAAGTTAGGCTTGTACCTAAGTGAGCAGTAACATCATTGGAACCAACCCAAATGAAGCCAAGGAAGGTTACCAAAAATAATGATCAGAAATGGGGCTTGAAGCCTCCTATGAGTAGAAGGTGGTCGTAGCAGGCTACCTTGTAGTGGAGATCAAAGGGAAAATTACACAGGTGAGTCACTCAAGGCTGAGTGATGGTCAAAATGTGATGAACTCAATGTGTTTGGAGACACTTGCTCAGAAGTAGAAAAACTTCAGAATGCCTACAGAACATCATGCTGAAAACTTAGATATACGAAAGAGGAAAACGGTACAGAAACTTAGAAGAGTTTTTACTTCCTTTGGGGTCTCTTCGGGATCTCCTGCAGATTTAGGAATAAGCATTACATGAATGTGATTCAATATTACTTTTGAGAAGAGATTTGTAAGTCTTTTCCCCTTTTCTCTGATGTTGGGAGTGAGAGAATTATAGAGGCTGTATATACCCTGAGGGAAGTAAGGTCCCAAGCGGATCTAGAGATGTTAGCGCTAATGCCTTTGGTTTCTGATTCCTGCTGTAGTTCCTGCATGTCATCCCAGAAGCCACAGCAAAAAGGAAGCCTTTATTTTCCCCGTGGCAGAGGGCCAGCACAACAGTCCAGTCCTTTCTCTTGCTGCTGGTAGGGACGAGTCTGTCAGGCAAATGAGGGAAGGCAGAAGTGAAGACACAGTACCCTGCGATAGGCGGTTATTCGAGCACGGGGTTGTTCTATAAAGAGCCTTATCAGCACAGCCCCGGTTAAAAAACCTGCCTAAGAAGGAGAGGTTACTCCACCATATGTCAAGGACTGCTCTGCTTCCCAGCTGCTTCTGCAATCCAAGAGGCATAAAGGTGACAATATTTCTCCCTGGGCTGTGAACGAGGGCAGAACTGAGATTCCATAGCTCTCGCTGCGTGCGCCCACTGACAGGATGTCATACGACAGGACGAGCATTCACGGAGGCTCTGCCCAGATAATAATATAGTATAGTAGCCCTCGGTGAATTAGCAGGATCCAAATGCATTAGATACTTAAAGATTTTTCAAATGATCGGCTTCCGGAGGGGTTCCTCTTCTAAAACTGCTCTGCTAAAGAAGGTCAAAGCGCGGCAGAGACCGTTGCTACTGTAATTCGTAGTCGCACGTGTTATTGCTAGTTCTTTCTAATGAACGCAGCCAGACAACTAATTTCAAATATCTCTCACCATTCTGTTATCTAATGCTTTCTTAACTATTGCTATCAGCCAGTGCATTCCTGAGAGCAATACTTAGCCTGGAATTGACTTCAAGCGTTCACCGTCAAATGATATCTTCTGATTAAGTCTACTCTAAAGCTCACAGAAGTCCCATCAGCTTCAAATGGCCTAAATGCATTTTTTTCCTGACTATAAGCCATTATTTCGTGCTTTGGAAACGCTTAGTCCACCCCATCTTTTCTGTGTGCTATGAAATCCTTTGTAATTGTGGTAAAGAAGATGCCTCATTGATTTTCTGGGAATGCATTTGGTACAGTAGCTCTCCAGAACCC